TCGAGGGCTCAGGGCACAGCAGGGCCAATGTGCCGCTGCTTAGGTTTGGAGGCAGCAGTTTAATCTCTTCTGAGTTTGGCCCTGAGAACCCACTGAAGATCTGGATCCTTTGGGGTCTTTGCAGTCTTGCTTCCAAGCGTTCCTGGTTTATTTCGGAAGATGGTCTCAGCTTCCTAGACTGGTTCCCCCCTGGGTCTGGCCTCAGCAGTGCAGAGTCCTTGGCCTGTCACTTTATCATGCATGATAAAATCACCTCGCCGTCTTTGCTGAAAACTCCAGGAATTGGAGCAAGGCAGAACGACTGCTGAGGGCAGCTTTGTGGTGCAGAGCTGGCAAGGACGGGGCTTTCGGGAGCCTCTTACTGTGCGGAGATTCCAGAGCAGCTGCAGAAATGGTTTGAGGGGATGAAAAGTCCCAGGAGAACCGCTTGTCTGCAAAGTGTTCGCCTCACCCTGCCTTTCCTAATGAAGATGGAGCCGTGCGTGCTTGGTTTTACTCGTTGCTTGCTCTGTTCACTTAACTTGAGGGAGACAAGGCGAGTTCCTTGCTCACCTTGGTCAGGTGGATTCCCTCGTGAAGGAGCTGAGCGCCAATGACAGGAGTTGGCGGGGGAGAAAAGGTTCAAGTCTAAAGTAGAGGGCAGAAAGAGTTTTATATGACAGGGAGGAAGGAAAAAAACAAAAGGCTTCATGCAAAATAAGAATTAAGCTAAGAGCCTGCAAAGCTACCAGGAAGCAGAAACTGCCAAAGCTGAAAACACCTTTCGGCATCGCGGAAGGGGAAGCTGGTGGTTGCTTCAGTCGTGTCTCCCGCTGGGTGCCACGGGCTGGTGCGGTGACTGCTCGTTTGTTGGGGTGCGATGATGCTGGGCTCTGGCAGAGGAAATCTGTGGGTCACATTTTACAAGCAGTTGCTTCTATTCAGCTGGACTTTCCCGATTCTGGCCCAGGAAACTCCCATCAGGAATGAGTGACCGTGCTGCTCCGAGCGGCGGACAGCGTGAGCTTGGCGAGGAGCCGCTTTCCCGGGCAGAGCGTGGCCTGTGCGGCACGGTGCACGCGGTGCTCACCCGAGGGCTGGAGCAAAGCGCGGAGCAGGCGCCCCTGCGCTTCCAGCCCTGCCCTTCCAAGGGCGTCCGCTGTACTCGGGAGCTCAGTGCGGATGGTTCTTGGGGGAAATCCTGTTGGGATTCGGTTTCTCGGTGCCTCCCGACCCGGGTGCTGACCTGGCCAGGAGCGCAGAGCGATTTGTCTCCTGCTGCCCGCGCAGCACGAGGCCGGTGCGGGAGCTGTCTGGTAACGCTGCCCCTGCAGCAGCACTGCAATTAGAGACCGCTTACGTCTTGAGTGCCTTAACAGTGGGGTCCTCTTCTAAGGATGACATTTTCCTCCGGGCATCCTAAAAAGCCTGTTTTTGACAGCTCTGGTTGCAACACTCCAGCAGATAAATGCATGATTGTGTGTGCGAACGGCTGGCGATGCTGCGAGGCGCCCGAATGAATAGGCTGAGCCTGGGGAGGGGTTTTGTGGCCGGTCTGGGTTTCGGCGCACACAGAGGAGGGCTTGTGCCCTCTGTTCCCGTAGCGCTCCCGAGCCCGCTCGCGCCATCCGCTCTGCCCGCCCGTGGCCGTGTCTGCGGAGCCCCACCGGCTTCGGTCTCGCCGCGGGTCCGGCTGGGGATCCTGCCCTGCTGTTTGCGGACAATGTCCAAGTTATTTTGACTATTCCATCTGCAGTTGGAGACTTCCTGAGTCATACCTAAACGTTAATAAAAGCCTAATGGTTTATGTTGAGAAAGGCAAGAGATAAAACTAGAATCCTTTTATCACAGGATTTAATGGCCTGAAAATGTCAGTTGAGTGGGAGCAACTGCCAAATTTTGAGCCTATGAAGAAGATTGCTAAGTCCCACAAATCAACAAGTTTGGAGCGGATTATCGGATGCGAGCTGTGTCATTTTCCCAGGACTCCAGGCATGTTGGAAGCCAGCACTTTAATCCACTCTGATATGATGCATGAGAGGGGCTGGATTCACTTTCCACTTACTGTTGTACTAGAAAGTGTTCAGATTTCTGTAGTAAAGAAGAAAGAGCCTTGCTGAGAGTAAAAGCTCCAGGGTTTTTTTTTTTTGAGTTGCAGTCTGGGTCTGATTCAGAAATGAGCTCCATCTTTGCTTGGAATTGTTTTTAAGGTCACAAAGACAGGATGTGAAAACCAGTGTGTTTTGTGGCTTTCCCGCGCGCTCCCTCCCTGCTCCGCTTCCTCCCTCTGTTCCCAGCAGACTTCCTTCCGTGGGCCGGCCGCGCGGGCCAGCGCTCCATGGGAATCCCGCTAAATCCTGCTATTTGGTGCCTGCTCGTTGAGGCCTAGGTGGGAGGACTGAGCTTGCACCATGCGAAAGGTGAATCCTTGGAATCCGTTGAGGCTGGAGAGATTTTATCTCTTTTTCCCATGGCTTCTGTGACTGTGTGGAGGCCTCGATTGGGCAAGGCCTTGTTCCTCAGTTTGGATTTTTGTGAGAATTCCTAAAAACCCCAGGAGGGTGCGTGGGGATGGTGAGGTGCTGTCAGCCCGGGCAGATGGCAACACTCACCTGTACACCAGGGACTGTTCTTTACCATCGGGTAGTGTGTTTTGGGTGCAGAACCCCATGTTTTGGGGGCAGAATGCCCTAAATTTGTGCCCCTACCATTTCTGTGAGTTTCTTAGCATCCAGTTTGCACAGGAGGAAAACAATGCCCATTTAGTAAATGCCCACAGGGTTGTGTCAAAATGCAGAAGCCTGAAAGATCCGGGTTCTGGAGGAAACTGCCTTGCTGCCTTGGGGCAGGTCGGCTTGATGTCACCTGGGGACTTGGCCGCTTTGCATCGCGGGCCCCGTTAGCACCAGTGCCAAGGGAGATTCCTGAGCCACCGCGGTTGTCTGGTGCTGGCGGGAGGATGTGACTTGGTCATATCCTGTTTACCATAAAATGACAGACTGAAAATATCCTCTTGGTGCTGCAGTTCACAGATGGAAGCACCCGCTGTGTCGCCCAGCCTGGAAGTGAGAAGGGAGGAAGCACCACGTGTCTCCTTGCACTGGTGTGATCCGAGGAAAGGTGTTTTGGAGGAAGGATGTTTGCAACAAAAACAAGGCTTGGGCTGCACAAGAATAGCTGTATCCTGTTTGCTGCAAAAAACACTTCGTGCTTCCGTTAGGAGTGCAAAGCCTGCTTTATAAGCAGGCAGACCCGGCAGATAAGGAACTGTGCGAGGGGGATCGCGTCCCGCTCGGAGGCGCTGGAGGCTCCTGGGAGCCTCTCGGAGCGTCGGGATCCCGGTGCCAGCGTTTCGTGCCAGGGCTCTGGGAGCCCCGGGCAGTGGGAGCTGGCGAGGAGACCGGTCCCCAGACCCCGGGATGCCCAAAGTCCGGCTCTGCAGGGAAGGGACTCGCCAACCCTGTGTATAGCAAGAGGAAGTTTTGTTGTCTGGGTATAGGGAAAACATAAACACTTAAGAATTTGGGCTGCATTTTTTTTTTAATAGAACAAAATAGCATAAAACTGCAAAATACATTTAGCAAAGCTGCTCGCATTCACAACACTTGATCCTCCCATTCAGACCAAACCACAGCTCTGAGCATGTTACCTCCTTCTTGGCCCTTGCTTCAGCACGAAGTTTTTTAAATCACCCTGAGTCAGTTCATGCATGGTGTAGCCAGAAAAAACCCATAGGCTTGTGGCCACCAGCGTGGCGGAGAACGAGCATTGCACTGGTGTTCTTGGAGAGACCTCGCTCTGCAGCTTGCAGCAATAAATGTGGACTTGAACAGCAGTAGGGAAATGACTTCTAGAAATTGCTTGCAGCGATTCACTCTGTCTAGGCAGGGGAAGAAGAGCAGTTCTTCAAAATGGGAAGAGTCCGCTCGGTGTGTCACGTGCGAGGAGGATGCTGTGACTCCTCTCTAGAAGCTGCTAAAAATACCTCCCCGGTGGTGCCCGCGCTCGGGAAGCAGCCGTGCTGCCCTCCTGTGCAGCCATCGCTGTTCATCATGGCACTGAGAAGCCCTGGCACCTAAATCCCTGCCCTGGAGCACTTCTTGGGGGCCTTTGCCTGGCAGATCAGCCTCAGCTTCTAGCCTGGGAGCAGCAAATTCCAGGCTGGAATTTTAACATGAGTGGGAAAAGAGCTAAGGACTTAATCTGACTGCACAGTAATAATGCAATGATAATAATGCAATGCCCAGGAGGGACCATGCTACACGTGCCGGCTGGGGCGGTTTCTGGGCAGTGTTAGCACAGAGCGTGGTGTCTTAAAGACCAAAGATGCAGCCTCAAACCCTGGGCTGTGTCGAGCTGCGCTAGGGCCAGGATCCTGGCAGGGGATCGGCCGCGTTGGCAGGCGTCGCGGCTGCGTTGTTGGGTGCTGCACGCTGGATATCGCGACCACGTGCTGGGTGCTGCGCGCTGGGTGCTGGGTGCTGCGCGCCGGGTGCTGCGTGCTGGGTGTCGGGTGCTGCGTGCTGGGTGTCGGGTG